CACTGCTGAGATTTGATGAGAACATACAAAAACTACAAACTACCCTACCATTTCAAATAAATTACTATAGACTAAATATTCAAAAATTTTCTTTACTGAATAGCAAAAAAACTCAATAGTAAAAAAATTAATAGAAATTTTATGCGTCAGACTTAAAGGTGGTGTTCCGTCTGCAAATTATTATTACGCTTCTGAATTAATAATTAATGGTCAATTTACCAAGTTTATCCTAAACAATATCCTGTTTATGTGCCTCAATATTCATATTCAATTCTTGGAAAACTAATTGATTTTTTACGTTATCCACAAAATTTTATTACACCTCTGAATTTTTGATGACTGATTGGATCTGAAGTTAGTGGTCAATATTTCGTCGAATATGTTAACATAATTTCTTCTACGTTACAATTTACAATTATCCTGTTTATCTGCATCAAAAAGATATCGCATCTTCCGACTTTCTTATATTGGGAATTTATGTGAAGTAGATCATACCTTAGTTTAATGCGTACCATTGCTTTAGAGTAGCACAATTTGGAAACTAGATCCAACTCTGAACCTATTTTAAGCAAATTTGACGGAGGCCTTTGAACTCCTAATATCATTGCTGAATGGTGCATGATATGACTTCGATGAGAATAATAATAAAAAAATATTTATTGAAGCAATAGATGTACCATACCGAGTTTCACCAAATGGAAGAATTCGGTTGAATATGAAAAAATCTATCCAATTTGGGCTGATATTAAATATATGGTGGACAATAACGGTAAAATGGGATGAAGGTGTATCTTGAAGGTTTATATTTTCAACTATATCTGATGTCCGGTATTAAATATCATTGCATATTATGCATGTGAGATACTTAAACAAGAAATCGGGTGAAACACATATGGGAACTATAGCTATTCTATAACAATCTAATCTATAGATATTTGTCTTTTCTATCCTCCAAAAATAAATCTAAAAAAATGGTAAATCAAAGTTCACGAAATGCTGCACAACAATTCTACCGGAAAATGATTCAAATGATAATCTAACATCACCGTTTAAATTGAGTTCAGAATTTTCAATTAAATTATAACTGCTATACAACAAGTCGTCTATATCCCATCTTCTGATTTTTCTTCTTCTTTTTTTGCCTAGTACTAGTACTTTTTTTATAAAATCACAAAATATTATTACACTTCTGAATTATTAATGACTGTGTAAAAAGGTGGAATAATTACGAAAAGGTAAAATTAATGGCGGAATATTTACAGAATTATACTTATGAAAATAAAATTTGCTTAACTAAATCTAGTTCCATTAATCCTCTCTATGCCCTTCAAATAAATCTAAATAATGACTAAAACTATGTTCACGAAATGCTGCATAACAATTCGACCCCGAGGAATAGTTCTCCAATTCAATGCCACTCTATTGTTTCAGTTGGAAATATGTTTTGAATTTTCAATTAAAGTATAACTGTTATACAACAAGTCGTCTATATCCCATCTTCTGATTTTCTTCGGCTTAAAACTAATTAGATTTTTTTTAAATCACAAAATATTATTACGCTTCTGAATTATTGATGACCGGTGAAAAAAGTGGAATAATAACGGAAAAATAGAATTAATAGTGGAAAAATTACAAAATTATTCAAAAGAAAAAGAAATTTGCTTAACTGTACCAAGTTCCATTAATCCCCTACATAATTGTTAAACTAAGTTCACGAAATGCTGCATAACAATTCTACCCGGAGAATACTTCTCTAATTTGATGACACTCAATTTTTTCAGTTGGAAATAAGTTTTGAATTTACAATTAAAGTATAACTGTTATACAACAAGTCGTCTATATCCCATCTTCTGATCTTCTTCGGCTTAAAACTAATAAGATTTTTTTTTAAATCACAAAATATTATTACGCTTCTGAATTATTGATGCCCGTTGAAAAGAATTGTATAATTACGGAAAAATAGAATTAATAGTGGAAAAATTACAAAATTATTCATAAGAAATAGAAATTTGCTTAACTGAATCTAGTTCCATTAATCCCCTACATAATTGTTAAACTAAGTTCACGAAATGCTGCATAACAATTCTACCCTGAGAATACTTCTCTAATTTGATGTCATTCCATTTTTTCAGTTGGAAATAAGTTTTGAATTTACAATTAAAGTATAACTGTTATACAACAAGTCGTGTATATCCCATCTTCTGATTTTTTTTGCTTAAAACTAATAAGATCTTTTTTAAATCACAAAATATTATTACGCTTCTGAGTTATTGATGACCGGTGAAAAAGTGGAATAATTACGGAAAAATAGAATTAAAAGTGGAATAATTACAAAATTATTCATAAGAAATAGAAATTTGCTTAACTGAATCTAGTTCAATTAATCCTCTCTATGATCTTCAAATAAATCTAAAGAATGACTAAAACTAAGTTCACGAAATGCTGCATAACAATTCTACCCGGAGAATAATTCTTTAATTCAATGCCACTCTATTGTTTCAGTTGGAAATATGTTTTGAATTTTCAATTAAAGTATAACTGTTATACAACAAGTCGTCTATATCCCATCTTCTGATTTTCTTCGGCTTAAAACTAATAAGATTTTTTTTAAATCACAAAATATTATTACGCTTCTGAATTATTGATAACCGGTGAAAAAAGTGGAATAATTACGGAAAAATAGAATTAATAGTGGAATAATTGCAGAATTATAATATATTTATACCAATGGAATTTTGCTTAACTGAATTTACAAAAATAAGTCTACGTAACTGCTAAACCTAAGTTAACGTAATGCTGCATAACAATTCTACCCGGGGAATACTTCTTTAATTCAATGATATTCTACTTTTATAGTTGGAAATAAGTTTTGAATTTCCAATTAAAGTATAACTGTTATACAACAAGTCGTGTATATCCCATCTTCCTTTTTTTTTTTTTTTGTTAAAATTAAACAATTTACAAAATCACAAAATATTATTACACTTCTGAATTATTGATGACTTTAAAAAAAAAAATTGGTATAATTACGGAAAGCTATATTTAATAGTGAAATAGTTACCAAATTAAACTTAATTAAACTGCCCATAATGGAAATTTGCTTAAATTTAGGGTACCGACTGTATTCTAACAAAGCTTTGTTGACAACTGGACGCCTCATTGAATATTAGGCTCTTGCAATAGTGTATGGAGGCTATAAAATACGTAATAACAGTCCCTTCACAAAGCTATGACGCATGAAAGATGTGGATATATCAAAATGAACATGAAGTTCATTGGGAAATTCGAAATAAACTAATCGATAACGACGTTAAGGGAATTTCCCATAAGCATATTCCACAATTATTGACAAGTAAAGGAAGCTGTCGAGGCCGATAAGCAGGATCCAAACTTACAGAACAGTGGCAAGACCTGTCGAGCCCACAAAAATGGACAGGAGATTACAGAAAGCTCCTGTTCACCTGAAAATATTTCAAAAAATATCCTCTGGCCGTTGGGCGTCGTCGAGCGTCAACCAAATGGTTCTGTGAAAAAATACTCGACTGTAGGCCTGACACAATTATATTACAATTATAGTCCTCTGGAAAAATTGTTCGAAAGTTCATAATTATAGACCGGCCTCTTTTTTAATTTTCTTCTTTTAGATTCAATCGTCCGGAGGAAAATCTTCTTTTAAATTCCATTTAAGGATATTTTTTTTTAAATTCCACGAATTTGCAGTCGAAGGTTCTAAAAAAATGTTCAATAATATTTTTTAAAAAACAATTAATTTGAAGTCAAAAGTTCTACAGACATTTTCTGTTTCCTCCACGACTTTGTAGTAAATAGTACAGAGGAAATTTTCCTTTAAAGTTCCGAAAAAGTGCTGAAGATTTTTTTTTAAATCCAGAATTCTAGAGTCCAATTATTACATGAATTGGGGTTAAAAGTTCTAAAAAAACTTTTTCCAAGATTTTGGAATCAATAATCCTGTGAAAATTTGTCTCTTCAATTTCACGACCAAACATTCATTAATATCCTCTGGAAATTACGTGGATACATACACGATTTTGGACCAAATTGTTCTTCAAAAATCTTCGACCTATTAGTCTTATAAAAATCCACCTTTGAATACCCAAGGATTGTAGTTCCACTGGACAATTTGAAAATTCCCAGATATTAGACGTAGTCGCGATAAAAGACGCTCGTATCGAAAATGTCCACTAAAAAATCGCTATTATTGACCCGAGATTCATCTGAAAACATTTGTTAGAGTTCCACAAATTCTCTAGGAAATTGTAGTTTAAACCACCTATTTATAGGCCTAATAGTCTTCTAAAATCCATGTTTATAAATCCTCACGAACCTGAAAGACATTATAGGGACTGGAAACTATTTCCTTCTTCTTTCCTTTAAAAGAAATTGGAAATTGGAGTCACTCGAGTCCAAAAGCCACGTTGTTTTTGTTGGGGCAACCCACATTAACAATATGGCATCTCATGTTGCAACATCCTATACGTCAACGCTCATATAATAAGACGCCGTGCTACCGCCATTTTAGCTTGCTCAGTCTTGTTCTGTCTGTCACTCGAGTCTGACTCACTACATTGTAACTTCTTCATTCTTTTTAAATTAGTAGCTGTGAACGCTCATCATCCAATAAATCTATACACCTTTAGTATTAACAAACATTGGCTTTTATTTCAAACCATAAAAGCACAACTGAATACTTAAAGATCTCCACAAAACATTTTAGGATATTTTTTCTCAAATAAATCAAAATCCAAAACCTCTGAAATATTTTTTACTCTGAAAGTAATGTGAAAAATTCACGATTTTAGAAAAAAAAGTTTTGGATGTTAGATCTAAAAGACCTCTAAAAAGGACCTTTAAACTTACACAAATTTTTATCAATAATCCACTGTTAAAAAATCCATGAAATTTTCACGTAAGAGTGATATAAAAATTGGGATTGAAAATCCAAGATTATAGACCTAAAATTATTCTGGAAATTTTTGATAAAAATCCTCAAGAAGTTATGTGGAAAATTCACGATTTTAGGCCATAAAATTCTTGAGAAAAAATCGTCGGTATTAGAACTTATAGTCTTATAAAGAACACCTTTAAATAGCCAAGGATTGTAGTTCTAATGTTCCCCTGGAAATTAAAAAAATTCCAAGATATTAGAGGTAGTCGCTAGTCATTTTGAATATGTCCACTAAAAATCCACGATTTTCGACCTGAGATGCGTCTCGAAATATTTGCAAAACAGTTCCACAAATTCTCTGGGAAGTTGTAGTTTAAACCCACATTTATAGGCCTAATAGTCTTCTAAAATCGACGGTTTTAAGCCCTCAAGAACCTGAATGACAACAAGTTTAGGAACTGGAAACTATTTCATAAGTGATTCCTTTTTCTTTCCTTCAAAAGTGATTGTATTTCTGTTCAAGTCTCTCTAGTCCAAAAGCCATGTACTTTTAAACCAAATTTATAGAGATAATACAGGATAATAGACTTCCACGAACGTCAATGACTCGGAGATTAGGACTATCTCCAAAGCTAATCCTTCCAGAGCCCAGGGTTATAAATTCACACGAACGTCAATGACTTTAAAATAAGGAACTGCAGACTATCTTCAAAGCGAATCCTGCTATTCCGTTGTAAAGCAATTGGATTTCTTTTCAATTCACTCCGGTCTAAAAGCCTTGCCTTTGATAAAAATCGACAACACAATAATTCAATTAAGGTTCATCTCTTTCTTGTCCTTTTCTCACTCAACATTCCAAAAGCCTTGCCTTCCACAAAAAAAAAACCTACAGCACAATAATGTCCATTAAAAAAGAGAGTGATAAGAAAAACTTAACCATAAACAACTCAGATTATTTTCTATATCCAAAAAACACTTACCCACAGCCTTTTTACAAATGGTATTTTCTGTTGTTGTTGTATATTACAATAATATTACGTGATTCTTGTGGAGAAATGTCCTTTTATCCTATTCCCCAATGGTGCAGAGAATCCAGATAACAGTTGCATTTCAATCCTTGAATCTAATGGGTATGGGAATGCTGCTATGTATGATGTACCGTGGTGGATTGTGTTGAGGTTTTTGATGATGTTGAGGATTTGCTGTTTGTTTTACGTTGTGGTTGTTGTTGTTTGTTATTCTTGCCTAAATTAGTTACTGGAGGAGTTTGACTCGATGTATTTGGTGTTGTCGTCGTCGTCGATGATGAGGGAAGAAATTCTTTTGGATTGAAATCAGCCAAGGCAAGTTGTTTCTCAGGTGATTGATCAGGTAACTTGTTGATTTTCTGCAAACGCTGTTCGACAATTTGCAAATGACGTAGTATGTATTCTTCGCCCGGTGCCAATTGATGGGCATAACGTAGACATTGTTGGGCCTTGAGCATATGTTTGCGTTCCACAAAGACCACACACAGATTGTGTAGACCCTGAATGTTGTGTGGATCCAATTTGAGTATGGAACGATAACATATCTCGGCAGCATCTAGATCTTTCATGTGATTTATGTAAATGTCACCCAAAAGTATTAGACCCTTAATGTGATCGGGATGATGACGTATTAGTTGATTGAGAAAGGGCACAGCATCCAGGGGACGATTGGCATCGGCCAGCAGTAGAGCCAAATTGAAAAGAGCACTACGAAAATCAGCTTTTAGGTGGATGGCTCGTTTGAAATATTGTTCGGCGGCCTCAAAATCCATTTCATCCATGGCCAGCATGCCCAAATTAAAGTAGACCTTTTCATTGTCGCCATTTTTCTGTAGAATTTTGTGTAATCTCTCGCGAGACAGCTGCCGGGCCACTGGGCCACCCATTTCTTGTAGTAAAATTGCCGAGTTGAGCAGGGCCTGTTCGTGTTCGGGATATAGCTCAAGAGCCTTGTTGAAATACACATTGGCCTGGGCACTTTTCCCCTGCTCCAGGAATACCACACCCAAATTGTAATAAATATCGGCATTTTCACTGTCATACAGCAGGGCCTTCTCATACACCTCCTGGGCCTGAATGGTGCGATTTAGTTTCATGAGAATGTCACCCCGATTGATATAGGCCTGAACATAATCCGAACGCATACTGATGGCTTGACGATACAAAAAGTCGGCCTCTTCCAGACGGGTTTGATTCCGAGCAATTAGATTGGCCAAATTAATGAAAACATTCAAATGATTCGGAGCAATACGGGCCTGATAACTTTCTCCCGGCTTAATGCGCGGAAACAGCGACTTGGCCTTTAGATATGCCCTCTCGGCCTCATCGTACATTTTCAAATTATTATAGGTACGTCCCACATTTATATGGGCCCCAATGTCATCCGGTTGTATGTGTACCGCCTGCTGGAAATATAACAAAGCCTCCTGATAGCGTCCCTCATTCTCCAAAGCATGACCGACATTATTAAAGAGCTTAGCATTGCGATCATTAACATGTACTCCACTCATAAACAGAGTGTATTCATTAATCCAATCTTTGTTGCGTTGATAGGTTTTTGCCGTGTGCGTTAGCAGCAGTCCGAACAATGCCAATTTCCATACAAATTGCAAATGGGATTTATTTTCATCGACCATCGTCTCCTTAATCCGTTCATAACCATAGGCTATGAGTAGACAGAAACCCATTGAAGGCATATACAATATACGTTCGGCCACAACAAATCCCACGGGGAAGAAGAGATTCGAGGCCGGCAGGAATGGTAGAATAATCCAAGCCAAACACATGATTAGCATACGGGAATGATGTAGACTTTTACTGCGGCATGCTGTGTAAATTAACGCTGCCAAGGAGGTAAAGGTGAGCAGAGTGACCACATTGCGTACATCGGCAAAGCCTTCGATTAGGGGGACCGTGCCTGGAAAATAAAAATAGAGTTGATCAAAAAATGTTTCAATTTTAAAAACAAAAAAATAGAAAAGGAGAGCATTGCCGTGGAATATGAAAATATGCTCTGTTCCGGAACTACAAGAACGTTAACCGAATTTTCTTTTATGATATTGAAAAAATGCAAAACTTGTAGATTCTGGAACAGGGCAGTTAACAACTAACTCTATTTCAATTCAATTTTATGAAAATTTCCAAATAGAGAGCCCTTACAGGCAACCTATGAACGCAAGGCCTATCAGCTAGCTACTGAAAATGAATTTGGAAATAAATTGTTCTTCCATTTTAGAGAACTCAGGTAAAAACAGCAAAAGCATGTCAGACCACCCTTGTGAATGGAATAAAAACAGGTATTGAGAAATTTCACCAAAGAGAAATCGAAAGAGAGAAGGAGAGCAAAGGTAGAGAAATTTTCATCCATGATAACGGTCGTTGAGAAAAGTCTTAATGAGAGCAGGCTTAATGAGAGCAAGTCATCTAACAATTAGGGGTTAATCTCTTCGACCTATCTGCTCTTTTGACACAATGGAAATACGGCTAGAAGAGCAGCTGCACTAAAAATTGCATTGGAGATTGAAAAGGACAATTAAATCCGTCCAAGAAATTACGAGAAATCTTAAGAAAGGATAATCATAAAAATTGATCCCGAAGCAATAAAGAAATTGGAATAAAAACCCAAATGATATTTTATCAAGGGATGCTGTTTCAAGGAAGGCCAGAACTAATTATGAGAGATAAAGGGTGATTTTTTTGAGGTTAGGATTTTCATGCATTAGTATTTGACAGATCACGTGGGATTTCAGACATGGTGTCAAAGAGAAAGATGCTTACTAACTAGCAACGCTTGCAAATCATTGAATTTTATTGCCAAAATCAGTGTTCGGTTCGAAATGTGTTTCGCGCTTTACGTCCGATTTATGGTCTACATAATCGACCAAGTGAGCAAACAATTAATGCGATTGTGACCAAGTTTCGCACTCAGTTTACTTTATTGGACATTAAACCAACCACACGAATGCGTACAGTGCGTACAGAAGAGAATATTGCGTCTGTTTCTGAGAGTGTTGCTGAAGACCGTGAAATGTCGATTCGTCGCCGTTCGCAGCAATTGGGTTTGTGTTATTCGACCACATGGAAGATTTTACGCAAAGATCTTGGTGTAAATCCGTATAAAATACAGCTCGTTTAAGAAATGAAGCCGAACGATCTGCCACAACGTCGAATTTTCAGTGAATGGGCCCTAGAAAAGTTGGCAGAAAATCCGCTTTTTTATCGACAAATTTTGTTCAGCAATGAGGCTCATTTCTGGTTGAATGGCTACGTAAATAAGCAAAATTGCCGCATTTGGAGTGAAGAGCAACCAGAAGCCGTTCAAGAAATGCCCATGCATCCCGAAAAATGCACTGTTTGGTGTGGTTTGTACGCTGGTGGAATCATTGGACCGTATTTTTTCAAAGATGCTGTTGGACGCAACGTTACGGTGAATGGCGATCGCTATCGTTCGATGCTAACAAACTTTTTGTTGCCAAAAATGGAAGAACTGAACTTGGTTGACATGTGGTTTCAACAAGATGGCGCTACATGCCACACAGCTCCCGATTCTATGGCCATTTTGAGGGAAAACTTCGGAGAACAATTCATCTCAAGAAATGGACCTGTAAGTTGGCCACCAAGATCATGCGATTTGACGCCTTTAGACTATTTTTTGTGGGGCTACGTCAAGTCTAAAGTCTACAGAAATAAGCCAGCAACTATTCCAGCTTTGGAAGACAACATTTCCGAAGAAATTCGGGCTATTCCGGCCAAAATGCTCGAAAAAGTTGCCCAAAATTGGACTTTCCGAATGGACCACCTAAGACGCAGCCGCGGTCAACATTTAAATGAAATTATCTTCAAAAAGTAAATGTCATGGACCAATCTAACGTTTCAAATAAAGAACCGATGTGATTTTTCAAATTTTATGCGTTTTTTTTTTAAAAAAAAGTTATCAAGCTCTTAACAAATCACTCTTTATAAGTATTGGAAATTGTTACCCTTTGTGTTTATAGAAATATCGGAGTATGTGAAATTTGATTTCACATTTTTTCGGCGCTTTGTTATTCAAAATGTTGACCCATTGTGGGCCGATACATTCAATATTCATACCAGATCTTGTGTTGGTAGAAATATTGAAATATGTGAAATATGAAACTAATCGGCTGCTTATTTTGCGTTTTATGGCCCTTAACGTGATCGAGATGATGACGTATTAGTTGATTGAGAAAGAACACAGCATCCAGGGGACGATTGGCATCGGCCAGCAGTAGGGTCAAATTGAAAAGGGCACTACGAAAATCAGCTTTTAGGTGAATGACCCGTTTGAAATATTGTTCGGCGTCCTCCAATCTCTCGCGAAACATATGTCGAGCCTCTGGGCTACCCATTTCTTGTAGTAAAATTGACGAGTTGAGAAGGGCCTGTTTGTTTTCTTATTAAAAATATTGACCTCTTTGTGGGGAGGTACCAGAAGGAGTGAGCCGGTATATTCCACCTTCACATCAGACCTTGTGTTGATAGAAATATTGGAATGTGTGAAGTTTGAAAAGAATCCACTGTTTATTTCGCATTTTATGAGACTTTGGGTTATTCAAAATATTGACCTCTTTGTGGGGAGGTACCAGAAGGAGTGAACCGATGTATCCCGCCATCACACCAGATCATGTATTGGTAGAAATATTCCAATGTGTGAAGTTTGAACAGAATCAAATGTATATTTTGAATTTTATGAGCGTTTTGACTTTTCAAAAAGTTGTTGGGGACGTAACAAAAGGAGTGATCCGTTTTATCCATTCTTCATAACAAATCCTGTTTTTTGGAAATTTTGCGATGTGAGAAATTTGAAGACCATCGGACTCTTATTTCACATCTTTAAAAAGTAATAACTATTCAAAATGTTGACCACATTGTGGGGGGTACAAGAAGGAGTGGGTCAATATTGTCAATTTCCGCACCTGATACAGCACTGTTATACGTATTAGGATTTCTAAAGTTTGCACAAAATTAGATGATGCTTTCGTGTTTTATGACGTAAATTATTTTCAGTTAAAAATGTTGAATTTTTTTGTGGGGGAGATACCAAAAAGAGGGGATAGACATTGCTCACCACCGAACTCTATCTATGGTTAATAATAATATTACGATGTACCAAGTTGGGACCTAATCGGGTAGTCCCTTCCAGAGTTATCATGCACACCAGCCAGACAGACGGACGGACAACCTGAGATTGACTCCAAACATCCTGAAACGGATCTGGTCCAAAGAGACCTTGCGTCTTCATTGAGGCACGTTTTGGCGTGTTTGAAAATGCCCAGGTCTATAATTCTTTATTTTTAAAGAAAATTCTCTCAAAGACGGCCAGGACTTTAATCGCAGATAAAAAATCTTTCAGGAATGATCAGAGGTATAATCATGGATTTTTAGAGAAAATCTCTCTAAGGATGATCTGATGTAAAATGGCGAATTAAAAAAAATGTTCAGGGACATCCAGGGCATTAATCATATTTTTTTAGAAATAATCGTATTTTTTAAGAAAATTTACTCAGGGTTGTCAGGGCTATTGTCGTGGGTTTTTAAGAAAAACTTCACAGGGATAGCGAGGACTAAAATCGGGGATTTTTCAGAATAACCTTTTTAAGTATGGCAAGGAATAAAATCGTGGATTTTCATAGAAAACTTTCGCGGGAATGAACAGGACTAAAATCGGAGGTTTTTCAAGAAAAACTTCATAGGGATGACCAGGACTAAACCGTGAATTTTTAAAGATAAGCTTTCCAAGGATGTCCGGGGCTATAATCATGGATTTTTGAAAAAAAAAACTTCTATGTTGTACTCTAGCGTGGTATGCCACATTTTTGAGTTTTTTTTTTAAGAAATGTTAAGTTTTGGTGTTTTTTTTTTTTTAAATCCTTCTCAGTGATGGCGAGATCCAAAAATCGTGAGTTTTCAAAATAAAACTTTCCAAGAATGTCCGGGGCTACAATCGTGGATTTTTAAAGAACAACATCCCAAGGATGTCCAGATCTAAAATCGTGGATTTTTGAAGAAAAAATTCTCAAACATTTTCAGGACTAAAATAATGATTTTTCAAAGTAAAACTTTTTAAGAATTGTGAAATCATGGATTTTTGAAGGAAGGTTTCAAGGATGCCCAGAAAACATTTCAACGAAAGACATCGTACCAATAGAGGATTTTCATTTCTTTATATGTTGCAATGAAAAAGCCAAGAGTATCACAACTAGCAAAATTTTTCAAGCTCCTAAAAGTATGCCACAAATTTGAGTTATTTTACTTAATAATGATTTCCATATATTTTGTTTATTAGCTCTGGTTTGGTCAGAAAAAAAAAACATTTTCCAGGATGATGAAGTATAAAAATCGTAAGGATTGACAGAGACAAGCTGCAAGAATACCCCGAGTTTTAATTGTAGATTTTATAAAAAATTCTCAACATTTACTAGGGCGAAGATCGTGGATTTTTAAAGACTAAAATGAAGGTATGAAGGAATAGTCCTTCAACGACGGCCAGAGGTTAATTTGAGAATTTTTAATTTAATTTTTTTTGGTTTTTTGTATCGAAAAAAAAATGCATTTCGCCAATTAATATCACAACAAGCGAAATTTTTAAGCTCCTAGAAGTATGCCACATATTTGAGTCTTTTAAAGGAGTTTTTGGTTTTTGTTGTTTCTTTAAATCCTTCTCAAGGATGGCGAGGTCCAAAAATAGAGAGTTTTTAAAATAAAACTTTCCTAGAATGTCCGGGGTCACAATCGTAGATTTTTAAAGAACAACTTCCCAAGGATGACCAGGTCTAAAATAGTGGATTTTTGAAGTTAAACTTCTCAAGTATTTTCAGGACTAAAATAATGATTTTTTAAAGTGAAACTGTTTAAGGATAGACAAGACTATAATTATGATTTTTAAAGAGCAGTTTCAAGGATGTCCGGGGAAAATTTCAACGTAGGGCATGGCTTTATTGGTTTTGTTTTTTTTTTTAGAAAATTCTTGTTATCTTTTTTTTAGAAAATTAGCTCAGCGATGGTGAGGGATATTGTTGTGGTTTAAAAAAAAAACTTTGTCAAGGAAGGCGAGGACTAAAATCGTAAGTTGTTAAAGTAAAACATTCCAAGGAAGGAAGACCAAAAAACGGGATATTTTAAAGTAAAGCTTTTTAAGGATAGACGGAGACCAACTGCAAGAATGCCCAGAGTTTTAATTGTGGATGTTTAAAAAAATTTCAATGAATGGAGGCATATTCCCTAAACCACGCTCAGAGGTTCGTTTGAGGATTTCCATTTTTTTTTATGTTGTATTGAAAAAATCCATTTGGCCAATAAGTACCACAGCTAGCGAATTTTTTAAGCTCCTAAAAGTATGCCACAAATTAGTGTTTTTTGTTTTCTTTCATCCTTTTTTCCATTTACTTCGTTTGCTCTTCGTTTCTAGTAGTAACACTCCACCTGCCCTCTCTATCTCTCCCTCTGTTACTTACCCATTGTCCAATCACAGCATAAATCACATGGAAATAACAGGAGCCAAGAATTCAAATAAATCAAATAGCTATAGGTGAGCTGACGTATTGGAGCATCTGCAGAGGAGGCTGGATTATCGAAACGTGTGAATACAGGTAGCTGAGAACCCATAACATAGACGCGACCGACCAACAGACAAATCGTAATGGCAATCAGAAATGTTAAACGTTTCACCAGAGTGCCAGACCATGTTATGGGCGGTAGAGATGCTAGGGGTAGTGGTGGTGCTGCTGTGGAGCTAAATATTCCTGGCGCTCCTGCATTTTGTGAAGCAGCAGCAGCCGATGCAATGAAATCCGCATTGTTTGCTGCACCCGTGGACGAGGTTGTTGCAATGTTGCCGTTCGTTTGAAGACTGACTGGTGATGCATTTTTACCAGCCTTATTTGTAGGCGATGCTGTTGTTCTCGATGTTGAGCTTCGTTCCTCGAAAAGATTCAGCAATGTCGACCACAATTGCAGCGGGTGGATGCGCTGTACCACAAATAGTTCATATGTTAGACAGATACCTGCAATGGTAATACCTTGTTCCTTGCACAGCATTGAGGCGAGTAGACAGAGAGTGAAATTGAAAAATAACATTGGCCATTGGGTGGTACGAGAGCCGGCGCATTTTGCAGATTTAAATTTCGAAAATGCACTTGAATTGAGCGAGGGATTCACCGCCTTGGCATAGCAGAGAAAGGCCAACAGAAAGAACAGTGATGATAGCAATTCAGCACGACCTACCACACCAGTCACGGCCTCACTGTGTATGGGATGCACGGCAAAGAGCAGAGAACTTACGAAGGAACATTTCTGGGCAAATGCTGGCCTTTGGGTACATTGCAGAACCAAGAGACGACTGACACGACGCCAGAGTAGACAAACTGCAATGTGCAGCAGAACATTAACAGCATGATAACCATACGGCTGCAATTCGTGCAGCCAGTAATTGAAACGAAATGTTAAGACCGTCAGTGGACGATAGGATTTATGAGAATGCTCCTTGCGCATTGGTGTACCCCAGAAATCATTGAGAAATATCTGGCGTAATGGGGTGCTCGGTCGTAAATCCTTGTTTTCTCGTATCGCACTGATATCATCGAATACCAGACCACATTGTGTTGAATTGTAATAGCCGAGCAGACACAGACAGACTATGGAAAGTAATTGAAAGAGATTTGTTGAAGTGAAAGGGGTGGTTATGGCGTTTGTTTTTCTGGCGGCTGTAGCTGCTGCTGCTGCTGTGTGTGGTGTGGGAGAGGTGCTCATGTTGTTATCACGAAATCCTGCTGCATTGCCATTTGTTGTTGTTGCTGCTGTTCCTGCAGCTGTTGTGGCTGTTGTAGTAAAGGACGTTGCATTACTAGCATGACTGCTGGAGCTACTGCCACCATTGCTGGCATTTTTGGTTTTATTGACACCATTTGTGTGTATAACTAAAACCGTCATATTGCCAGCACGATTGTTGTTGTTGTTATTATTTGCTGTTGTATGCTGATATTATTATTGCAAGTTCTTATGATGGCTGGCTGTTTGGCTGGCTGGATGGCTGTCTGACTTGCTACCGTAATATTTTGTGTATACAATGACAAGCTCCCTGGTGTACGGGCAAACGTGTAAATATTTTGTTATTACTTTACTTCTCGGTAGGTGTGTGTGTGGGGTCGCAGTTGCAGGAGTATCTTAACTATTGAACTTTTGACATGAATTTTCACCTCCGGTCTATGTTTTATTCTTTCTTTGCTTGATTTTGCTTTAGACACTTTTAAAGATTTCTCTCCGTAAAAACCAGGGCGTTTGTGTGGGTGTGTGTGTGTGTGTGTTGCACTGAAATATAAAAACAAAAAACATTAAACATTTTTACTTAAATTTTTGTAATTGTTGCCTTACATTGACCTTCAAAAATAGATGCAGCAAGCAAAGTAATAAACTTTATGGCTTTCAAAACTGGCTGGTTGAATGGGTGGCTGGCTGGTTGACTGGCTTTTTTAAAGGAGTGTCACTCACAAAAAAGGTCACTGAAATTCTTTTTTTAGACGTTCGTGTATACAAACCGTATCTGGGGAGTTATGGTCACTGCTATTCTCTACACTTCTCCACTCCTTTCCTTTTTTACTTTTTTTAAGTTTTAAAAACAATTGTTTTCCTTGTGATTTTTGTTTCTCAGTTACTTAGAGTACTGACTGAGCTGTTCTTTTTTTTTTTTACAAAAAAAATCTTCAGGTAGTTGATGTTGTTGTTGGTATTATTTTTTATATATATCCTGAGCCTTATAAACTATTTTTTTTTCAAAAAATCTATGATTTTTCCGTTTTTTCGTTTCGTATTTTTTCTTGGAACTGGGAAGAGACTTGAATAGATTATTTCAGGTTAATTGAGGTTGAAGTTGATTTCCTGTTTCGCTCTCTACTTCTTTTTTTTTTGAAATTTTATTTTTCTTTATTGTTCTTTCTTTAGGTGGATATTTTTCCGATTTCGCCTTGTTTCAGTTGTCCGGTTTTAAAGCACTTTTCCTCCGTATATTAATCAGTTTTAATTCCCGGATTTATATCTACATGACAATTGGTGGCATCATGACATCATGCTCATCATCAGCAGCATTGTATGCAGTAATATTGACCATCACCACCACCACCATTGGCTTTGGTATCTGAAAAAAATGCAAAGGAGAAAGAGACAGAGGATTAAAGTGGGGATTTTTTCATAATACCACAACATGTTAAATCTTTTGGAAATACAGAGGATTTTTTTTGGTTCTACGAAAGAGGATTACGTCGGTATGGGTTCAAAGTTAAATTTATTAATTACACAGGGCAACAAATTTTATTCTAAATGTGGGTTTAAAACCCAAAAAAGTCGATAGAACCTAGGGGAGCCTTTAAATAATTTCCCAATAAATTTTACAGACCTATGAGGACCCTAATCACCGTAGTGAAAAAAATTGTATGAAATTTTTATTGGATCTGGCAATCGACGAAATAAATTCAATTTGTTCTGTTTAAAACTGCAGGTTTTTACCACGATAACAAATTTCTCCTTTATGATATAGGGAAAAATTGTGAAGCTAGTGATTTCTTGCAGGTTCTGGAGCAGAGCAAATTTTATTTATTGAGAAAATTTCGTCGATTGCCAGGTCCTATACAATTTCATAGAATTTATTCATAATGTCCAGATTTAGGAAGTCTGCTACCCTTAGCGGGTGTAGCCAAAATCAAACCCTAGATTGTCAGGCAGCCGATTTTCTTCAACTGGAAGGGTTGTTGTTGTTCTAACAGCTTCAACAGTGCCAAAACTACTCGAGTTGGTCGGGGAAACTCTCGCTCTTCAGCTGCGATGTGAGGGGGATGGTCTCCTAGTACGTACGAAACCGCGTCAGAGTGAATACCATTCAGTCCTGCTTGATGGGCCTATTGATCTGGAGGCTCTCTCCTACACCTCTGTACGAATTTAGATGGCTATACCATCCTGAATGTAGTTGAGCCAAAATCAAACCCTAGGTTGTCTAGGCAGCCGATGTTCTTCAGCTAAAATGGAGGGGACCGACATATTCCATCTTCACACCAGACCTTGGATTAGTAGAAATATTGAGATGTGTGTAATTTGAAGAGAACCGGATGCCTATTTCAGATTTTATGATCATTTCGATTATTCAAAACTATTGTGACTTTGTGGGGAAGGTACCAGAAGGAATGGTCCGATCTCTACCATCTTTATAACAGGTCTTGTGTTGATGGAAATATTGCGATGTTCCAAGTCTGAATGGAATCGGATGTTAATTTCGTGTTTTATGAGCTTCAAGAATATTCAAAATTTTGACCCTTTGTGGGGGAGGTACCAGAAGGAGTGGACCGATATTTCCCATCTTCACACCAGACCATGGGCTACTAAAAATATTTTGAAGTATGTAATTTGAGGAGAACCGGATGATTATTTCGGGTTTTATGATCATTTCGGTTATTCAAAACTTTGACCCTTTGTGGGGAGGTACAAGAAGGAATGGTCCGATCTCTACCATATTTATAACAGATCTTGAGTTGAGGAAAATATCGAAATGTGCCAAGTTTGAATGGATTCGGACGGTAATTTCGTCTTTTATGAGCTTCATGATTATTCAAAATTTTGACCCTTTGTGGGCGTGGTGCCAGAAGGAGTGGACTGATATAATCCATCTTTACAGCAGATCTTGTGTTAGGAGAAATAATGGGATGTGTGAAATATGAAGAGAACCGAATGCTTATTTCGGATTTTATGATCGTTTGGTTATTCAAAACTTTGACCCTTTGTGGGGGAGGTACCAGCAGGAATTGTCCGATCTCTATCATCTTTATAACAGATCTTGGGTTTATGGAAATATTGAGATTTGCCAAGTCTGAATGGAATCGGATGGTAATTTCGTGTTTTATGAGCTTCACGGATATTCAAAATTTTGACCCTTTGTGGGGGAAGTACCAGAAGTAGTGAAGCGATACATTTCATTTTCACATCAAACCTTAGATTAATAAAAATATTGTGATGTGTGTAATTTGAAGACAATCGAACACTTACATCACATTTTATAAGAGTTATAATTATTGAAAATTGTGACCCTTTGTGGTGGGGGAAGTACTTGATGGGGTGAACCGATATTGTCGATTTTCGCACCTGAACTAGTACTGATGCAAATATTAGGATTTGCAAAGTTGGAGCAAAATGGGATTATCCTTTCTCTTTCTGTGAAGTAAATTATTTTCTTTGAAAATTTTGAAATTTTGTGTGGGAGGTACCAGAAGGAGTGGACCAATATTGCCCATCTCCGAACTCGATCTATGTTTGACAATAATATTACGATGTACCAAGTTTGAATCAAATCGAATACTCCCTTCAAGAGTTATTGGGCTCACCAGCCAACCAGACAGACAGACGGACGGGCAGACATCGCTAGATCGACTCCAAATGTCCTGAAATGGATTTGGTCCAAAGAGACCCAGGGTCTTAAATCGTTATTTCGATGAGACTCGTTTTGGCCGTATCAAATGATATATACCCTCTGTAGCCAGCCATATGGCTTAGGGTGTAAAAAAAAATCCCCCAAGAGAAAACTTTCAATTATCCCCAGAGGCCATTTAATAGAAAGAAGCCCACTGACCACAACATATCTCTTTCTTCCCTTTTGAAATTCAATTCAATTCAAATTATGCGGCATATTTACCGGCAGGAGAAAGTAAAACTTAAGTCATAACTCAGTGAGGCGAAAGGAAAACAAACATGGCTTCTTTTCTGGAATGTTTCCAAAAAATAATTGTTAGACTTGCTTGATTGGCCTTGAATACACCAGAGCAAAGGAAGGAAGCAAGGAAGGAAAATGACAACCACAAACCAAGTGAATATTATTTATTTGCCTTTTAAATAATAAAACTATTTGGAAAATGCAAATTGATGAAATTTTCAGGTTAAGTGGAGAAGAGAAGATTTGAAAATGTGTATTCCTGAGGGGGAGGGGGAGTTGAGAGGTGGGACAGCTTTGCCGGGTGTTAGTAGGAATACACAAATAACACACATTTTCATAATGCTAAACAGCTGAGGTGGCAGCAGCAGCGGCAGGCGGCAGGCGGCATGCGGCAGGCGGCAGGCGGCAAGTAATGACTGCAGTAAAGACAAATAGCAACAAAGTGCAAAAAAAAAACAACAGCAGAAAAAATCAATACATAACCTCATTTTATGCAAAACAAATTGGAGTGTCAAGCAAAAACTATGGGTTTCTTTTTTCTAAAATGGAATTTCCATAAACTCAGTGAGACCGAGGCACCACACAGTAATCAGTAAATTCCCATAAGGTGCAGTCAGCCAGCCAGCCAAACTCCCACCCACCCAACACCACCAAAACCACTCCCTTTGCTCTACTTTTTAACTAGACTGGGAGGTTTACTTTTTGAAAATAACATGTAAACAAATTAAATTCCAGCAATTCCATTTCGAAATTTTAAATTGAAATCAATTCAAACTTACCGCATTGGAAATAATGTGTATTTCGATTTCTAAACTCTATTCAAAGGCTTTTTCTATACGAGAACACACACCAGGACCAGTTTTGCAATATGCAACAAAGTAAATAGGGAAACAAACTACAACTGAAATGCTGTATTTAAAACTGAAAACTTACTGGTTGTTGGCATGATGGCAGACTACGACGACGATTGCGATGGCAATGACGATGACGACAACGACAACGCCGACAGATTGCAGCAGTAAATGTAGCTGGATGGTTGGTTGGTTGGTTGGCTGGCTGGTGGCCTGCTGGGTTGGCTCATACACACACCTCCTCACATAGCTTTGTGCGGGAAAGTAAAGGGAGCCTGAGAATGAGGAATGTTGCATGTAATGCAGCACATACAAATATTGCTGCTGCCACTGCCACAACAGCTGCTGCTGCTCCTACTGCTGTTGGTGCCCAAAACGACAAGAAAAGGGCATAATGAAATTGCAAAAAAAAAAAAAAAGAAAAACAGAAGAATACGAAAAAAAAAACACAAAAACAAACGTATGCACCAAACGACGACAAACGTTGAAACCAACGGAAACCCTAAAAAATGCACAGAGAGACAGACGGGTTGGATGGACAGTGGATTATGGCAGGGAAACCCGAAAAACGGATTGAAAAATCCGGGAACTAAAAAAATGTTATACAAAACTTCATCCCGAAGATCAATGAAGATTTTTCTATAAAATTTTATGATTACGGGGATCCATAAAAACTCCCCATAAAACCCAATAAAATAGTAATGGTGCCGGTGCTTTCTCAAAATTTTAATGTAATTTTTTAGGTCTTTGAAGCTAAACGAAACAATTTCGTGTTGCGAAGTTTTTAGCTCTGTTCCAGAATCTACAATTTTTTCCCATTTCATCAATCGATTTTCCATTGCAGGCTTACAAAATTTTAAAGATAGTTGCCCTGTTCCAGAACTTGCAAGAATCAACGAGTTTTGCATTTTTCCCAATATCATATAGGAAAAGATTCTTGCAAATTCTAGAACATGGCAAATGTCTTTAATGTTTTGTAAGCCCGCAATGGAAAATCGATTGATGATATGGAAAAAAATTTTAGATTCTGCAAGTTAAACTATCTACAAAAAATTGAAATCCTCGCGAAAGAAATAAATACCAACGTAGACCCTGAAAAATACACAGAGACAGGATTAACGAGATTTCTACTGTCCCTATCTACTATCTAGCGAAACCACAGCCAAGGGAACGGGCTTGGAATAATTAGCGGGGAAAGAAGACTCTGCTTAATGGCAGGAAAACAAAAAAATGGATCGTAAATTCCGGGAATTTTGACAAAA